AGCTAGGTGGGTAGCCCTAAGCAAGTCACTTAGCTTTCTCTCCTCAGGGTTTACTTACCTTAGTTAGGAAACCTAGTTGACACCTACAATTTTCTTAACTCCTTCCCCTCCATGTCTGTCTTGAAGTGTTAGATATATTTAAGTTATCTCGAATTCTTCACTATTTCTAGATAGACCAACGTTTCCTAAACTCACCTAATCACAAGAATTACCTCAGGGTAACTGTTAACAGTATGGATTCCAAACCCCCTTCCCTAAGAGATTCTGGTTGAGGACGTCTCTGAGTGAGGCTTAGGAACTAGCTCTTAATAAGTGATCCGAGTAAGTTTTATCATCTGGTAACCTTCACAAACACTGGACTGGATGAGCCATGAGCTGCCTGCCTTCCAGCTCTGATTCTATACCATCTGGATGTTTCAAAATGATGTTCTAAAAATATGCAAAATTATAATAGTATCACATGTGTTATTGCAAAAAGTTAATAAACAAACAAGATCAAAGAAACAAATACATCCATCCCTTCACCCTCAACACCATTCATACTTTTAAACATCAATAAAGACATCCTCCTAGATTCTAGGCAAGTGGAACACTTTATTTGGTGAGGAAAAAAGTTTTAAATATTAAGCTCTCAGCACATTAATATGGAAAGACTTGTGTTATAGGAAGAGAGAATTGTACACCAAATGCTTTAAGTGAAAACTACACATTGCGTTCTTCCCTTAGAGAACATTATCTGATGAGCTTACCTGTTCCTAGTTTTAAAAAAGCTAAAAAACAGCCTGTCTCTAGCAGCTATGAAACAGAGAGCTCTGCAATACTGGAATGCAATTGTTACAAAGCTAAAAGAAACAAAACAAAGCAAAACAAACAAACAACTGGGTGGCTCAGAGCCCACTACCTTTTGTTAGGAAGGTTTTGTCAGGTATAGGGAGAGCGTCCAGGGCACTTTCTGCACACAAAGGTAGCAACCTTATTTTTTATTTTTTAATTTTTTTGGTAGCAACCTCATTTAACTCTTCCTCTACGCTACGTTGCTTTAGACGGTTTTTCCAAAATTCTCATAATCCACTAGTGGGATTTACTTTTACTCTCTGTTTTAGATTTATAAATAACTATAAAACTCATAAAAGAAAAAGATTGATGGCGTGGACCACAGCGGGGCAGGGCTGTACAGGATGCTCACTGGCAACCGTTTGTCACATAAGTGGCTACAAAAGATGTAAATAAAATCAAGATTGAAACACAAAACTGGGTTTGGGTCAGCCCTGCAACACAAACAGGTATGAGACTAAGAGTGAAACATGACTACATACTTTAGCTATTAGTCAAACACCACAGTGTTAGCATAAAACACTGTCAAAGTGAATCTCGATGCTTGACCTGCAAATAGTGGAAATGGAATTGTTTAGATTTAGGGTCATACAGGCCCAAAATTGATTTAACAGTGAAAGTGGGGACACCAACTGTTAGATACAACATCACAGAAGCACTGGGTTTAAGGCCATATATATGTCTAAATACATTTCTGTGTTTGTTGCTCTCAACAAGCCCTGAGGCAATGCTTTGACCAAACCTCACATTCAATTAAAACAGAAATGTAAAATCAGGATCAAGGGGATCAGCATAATAGAATGGTTAAGAGGGCAGGTTTGGCTGTGACACAGACCAAGTTAAAACCCCAAATCAACAAACTACTGAATGACCTTGAACACATCATTTCACCTATGCCTCAATTTCCTCATTTGTAAGATGGAGATGATGCTTTGCTCAGCTATCAGATTTAAACAAGGTGATTCATGTAAAGCACTAAGCCCTGTACCTGGTACAGAGTAAATAAATAGGCAATAATAATAGTAAGCTAACTGCAAAAATTAGCATAATTACTGTCTTCCAACCTCAAGTAAAGCTATAAGTTTCCTGGCAGCCAGGCAAAAACTTCTAATCATTAGAAAGAAGACATTTACATACACTACATAAAGGTAGCTTTTCATTTCTTTCCACACTACAGAAAATTTCCCTCTCCTTAGTAAAGAATAATTCAGACTAATGATGTAGAGCTATATCCAGGAAAGGCTTCAATGCAGACATTTTAAATTAGAAAGGATAATTTTCAATGAGATCTGGATTAAGGATCTAACCAGTTTGGTAGAGTTACAGTTGGTGTTGTTAGAAGAAAGAGGAAAAAGAAGAAAAAGCCTTCAAACCATCCCACACACCATTACTCAATAGAGAAAAACAATAGCAGGTTGACTGTTCACATAACTTCATAATTGAATTAGAAAATGAAAAAGAAAAAAAAAATCAGGTGAAATATTTTAACTAACACGAAAGAACGAAATAACACAGTTATTAGTAAGGTGAAAGTGACCAAACTCATCAAAAAAAGATCAAGGAAGGGAAGGTGAAAAATTAGTTATTCCTACAGTTTCAGTAACAAGCACCCACTCTATCCTTTTAAGATCATGGCTTAAATTTCCCATTTGCAACCAACCTTCTTTGCCCACTCTCCCTAATATGCTACTAGCTTGAATGTACCTTTAATCTGTACTGTCTTCTTAACTGAATACATCATTCTGGTTACAGACAAAAATAACATCTTGTGCATTTTTTTTTTAATATAATTCAGGGGAGGGCTTCCCTGGTGGTGCAGTGGTTAAGAATCCGCCTCCCAATGCAGGGGACACAGGTTTAAGCCCTGGTCTGGGGAGATCCCACATGCCACGGAGCAACTGAGCCCGTGTGCCTCAACTACTGAGCCTGTGCTCTAGAGCCCGCGAGCCACAACTACTGAGCCCGTGCACCACAACTACTGAAGCTTGTGCACCTAGAGCCCATGCTCCACAACAGAGAGAAGCCACTGCAATGAGAAGCCTTGCGCACCACAACGAAGAGTAGCCCCCACTCGCCGCGGCTAGAGAAAGCCCGCGTGCAGCAACGAAGATGCAACGCAGCCAAAAATAAAATAAATAAATTTTTTTTTAATTCATGGGAAAATATTAGCAATTCAATCTTTAAAGGATCCATTTCAAAGAAAATACTGTGAGAAGTAATTTGGGGAGAGGAAAAAGTTCCTAGTAAAAATAAATCAGTCATAGGAAAACTGTTCAAGGACAATCAAAAACAAATTTCAAAATAATGCAAATTTTGAGTTAGGGGAAGGATTAATGAGTTGCAAGGTGCAGAACTAAATTCTCAAAGTGAAAAAAGATACAGAAGTGAAGAAAAGACTTCAGCAGGGAGTACACACCAGTGCTACCAATCCATCAGTAGATATGCAAAAATTCTGAATAATAATAAAAAAAACCCATAGACTATATTATCTGTATCGATATTGGGAAATTTAGCAACAGAAAGAAAATAAAGTATTTCAAAGCCATTTTCAAGCATTTCAAGATATTTTTCTATATTACAGATACTGCAGCAAAATGAAAGAAGTGACTGGTTAGATGCTCTAATTAACAATTTAGTAGTGAAAGAATAATGACGTCCCAAAAGAAGCTTTGTCACCTAGAGATAATGGACATTTTCTTTTTACTGTTTAAGAATCCAGAAGAATCTCCTTCTGCTTTTAAATGCAAATTACCAATCTCTGAAGCACATTCTGCTCTATTCCTTTATCTGAAAATTACTGAAATGTGATTCTGTTCCAGAGAGGACACCATTCAGGCAAGAAAATGGAATTAGGACAACTACACACTCTATGTTCAAATCATCACATCCAGTGAGCTGTCACCACTTACACATTACCTTTTTCAGTGGAGAGACCACTATCAGTGATCAAAATCCTATCTGAAGAAGGAAGAGTTAGCTTTGAGGACTATCAGTTCATTAAAGGTCACACACACATTCTAACATAACACATGAACATGCACCAGAATCATAACAATTTAAAAACTCAGTATCCCTTGGCTTTCAAATAACAAAACTAGCCATTTACTGGAAACGTTTTTAAAGCTAGAATTCCAGTGATAATAGTATGAGTTGCTATTTACCTGTTCATTACATGGTAAAACAAACCAAAAATACCACGATGCAAGAAAGGTGAGCACACCACACTCTGCACTTCTCTTCCCTGGCAAAATTCCCTGGAACAGTGAACACTGACTTGGAGACATGCTTCAATTTAATGTACCAGGTGATCAAGGTTAAAAAGAACACTTTTAAACCAGAAAGTCTCAAGAAATAAATAAACCATAATAGAGGAATTCATCCCATTGTTAAAGGTCCAAGCTTTCTGCCAAAACCACACTTGGTTTGGGAAATTTTATTTGTTGTCAGATAAACATAAACAAATAGTGAAGAAAGCTAGGTAAGATAGAGCCTCATAAAAGGTTAACTTACCTCTAGTCTTTCCAAGTTATATATTAACGAATAGCTTTAGTTTTTAAAAAAACCCTCTTTTCTAGCTAAGGCAAGTCATCCAAAGGAGTGAATTTTTTTGGTGATACCTGGCTTATCCCATACCATATTCTCCAAAGCAGACCCTAATCTCTCCCACAGGTCACCAGACAACCAGGAACAGAAACTACTGAAAACGAACTTCCAATCTCTGAAACGTCAGTGATTGTATAGGGTTTAGAAAAGCTGTTTAAACGTTTTCCCAACGCCTGCAATTAGTACATGTCAACCAAATGGCATAGCATGGCATGAGCGGGTCCCTACTTTCATCTACCCACTCAGAATCCGGGCAATGAATGCAGCAGACCTCTCAAGACCAGACTGCAGGGGGAAAGAGTACCATGCACAGAAAATAGGAACCCTGCTTTTTGATATGGGAAAAAGCAAATGATGGCAGTCTTGTGCTTTTAAAGAACCTAGAAGCGCTTACTAGTTCAATCCATCCCCAAATCCATGCCATCCTTTCAACTTTGCAATTAAAAGAGAAGAGAAATTCCGGTCAATTCGCCTTGGGGGTTGTTCTGAGGGTAGTGGACTCAAGTAGGGAGGAGGATGGAGAGAGAAAGAGCAAGCCAATGAAAGACAGCAAAATTTCCCACCTTTCTTAAATTCTTCCAGCATAGCGTCCAACTTGGTGTCATTGAAAACAAAGTGCAAGGGGTGGTTATAAAATTTAGTGATGGTTTTCAGGGGAGTACAGTCATCTGGATCCACGAAGGCCAAGTCTTTGACAAAGAGGAGGTCCACGATGTTGGAGCGCTCCCCCTCAAATACTGGAATCCGAGTGTAGCCGCTCTCCATGATCTCCGACATGGTGTTGAAGTCCAGAATGGCTTCGCCGGTGATCATGAAACAGTCCCGGAGGGGAGTCATCACGTCCTCCACGGTCTTCGTGCGGAGCTCCAGCGCCCCTTGGATGATGTTCAGCTCCTCCTTTACGAGGTCGTTGTAGGGGTCTGTGACCCGGAGCATCTCCAGCAGTTTTTCCCGGTTATAGACGGTGCCTATCTCTTGGCCCAGGACGCAGTCCAGCAGCTTGCTTACGGGGTAAGAGGCGGGGAAGGTCATCATCATGAAAAACTTGGTGAGGAAGATGGTGTTGGCCCCCACAGCCAGGCCGTGCCGGGAGCAGATGGCCTGGGGCACGATCTCCCCGAAGATGACGATGCCGATGGTGGAGACCACCACCGCCACGAGGCCTGAGCCAGCTATGTCGTCGAGCAGGATGGTGAGCGTGGTGTTGACCAGCACGTTGCCCAGCAGCAGCGAGCACAGCAGGTAGTTGCCCTGCCTGCGCACGGGCTCGATGCGCTTGGCGTAATTCTTCTCCTTCTCCGTGCCGCAGTTCTGCACGATGCGCAGCTCCATCGGGTCCAGGGCCATGAGTCCCAGGTTGAGGCCGCTGAACATGCCCGATAGGCACAGAAGCAGCGAAATGAAGATCACCTGCAGCCAGAAAGGCAGCAGGAACTTCTTCTCCTCCCCCACGATCATCTTTGTGTCCTCGCCGTCGTGATAAATCCAGGTGGTCTCGGCCCACGGGGGCGGCGGGAGCCCGGCCACCCCGGAGCCGCCCTTGCCCCCGACGGCGCCACCCGCAGACCCCGGGCCGCCGGCGCCCAGGGCTGGCGTGGAGAGCGACGTGCACAGGTAATAGGACTTGCTCTTCTCCATCTTGCGCAGCGGTTTGATCTCGATCTCAATGATGCCTGATGTACGGCGATTGAGAATGATATGGGGCAAGATGATGATATCTGATGTGCGGATGCCGCAGCGCTGGGGGCCGCTGTCCGGCTCCGGCGGCGCAGGGCCCCCCAGCCCGCGCTCGCCCGGGCTGTGGCGCCGCCGCTCATGCTCTGTGAAAGCAATGCGGGACCATGTCTCGTTGTTGATGTTCTGCCCGTACACCCGCAGCTTGACCCGGGTCCGCTCGCTCACCCGCAGCGCCCCCCCTTCCATGAACGACACGTCGTTCGTGTCCTCCAGCCGCAACCCGATGATCACAGTAT